CTTATATTGCATTATCTTCTTGCTATACCTACCATGCTAATCCTATACCAGAAAGAGACTTTGTTCACTTTGACTCTTGTGTTTTTTATCTAAGGATGTCTGAGAATACATTAACTCTCCAGAGGCTAGGCCTGATCGTTACCAAGATAGAAGAGTTTATTTTTATAAGATGAATAGCTATTATTTTTGCTTGCTTAAAGAATAAATATTTCAGAGCTGGACATGTACAAATTTTAGTTTAGATAATTAAAGAACATTATAAAAATAGTTACCCAAATAGGAAGAGTAGATGGAGCTTTCTGATATATAGGAAAGGATTTCTGGAGACATCCAGAAGCTAGTCTGCTGAATCAGTTAATATAGTTGTATTCAGAGTAGGGCTATACAAAATGTTCCATGCACAGATTGGTCCATGCACAGAATGGGTAGTTCTGGGCAATCAGTGTCCAGAAAGAAACTTACGTTTCATATGGACATAGTCCTAGAACATGTATGTGGCAGGCAGAAGTATTCTGAAATAAGGACAGTAAGAAAAAAGATGTTAGAGGTTGTACACAACATACAGCAACTAGGTGGAGGTAAAGGAAAGAAAGGAGTGGTAAGATTGAGGGAAGAATGGGTGGGTGGATGTGATGGGTACATGCAGCAGTAGTGGGCGCACCAGCAGTGTGCAACTAAGGGGAGGTAAGAGAAAAGAAGGCATGGAAATACCAGGTGAGGGATGGGCAGCCAGATGGCTATAGTGCCCTTGAATTCAAGTGCATCAGTGGCAACAGTGGCACACAGCAAAAGGAAATGTAAGGGGCAGGTCCACAGGCCTTGCAGAGGAAGAGATGAGAGAATGGTGAGATGCAGAAGCCTTTTCCTTCTCACCTGGTAAGAGTCTTCTAGATTTGCCTTGGCCAAAACCCAGAACAGTTCCAGGTTCCACTTCAGCTAGACAGTAACCCCACTTGGAATGGTCCAGCTGAACCACCTGGTCATAGTGTTCCATGCATAGAAGAAAACACATTTTTCATTTAATGTTTGTTCCTAGTTTGGAGTTGATATTACTGAAATGTTAAAGAAAGCACTTCAGGAATTAATAATTTGCAAGAGTTTTAAAAAGTGCTCATTAAACCGTAATGCTGATCTAACAATACATGCTGTTAGCTTTTTAAAAATACACCAGCAGAGAAGCTGCAGATTTATTTTGCTTTTTCATTGAAACTTAACTAATTTTTTTACATCTTATTTGCTGTTTCTTATTCCTTTCTTCTTTTATAAATCAGTGATATCTTTGTTTCCTTTGGTTATCATTGTTACCAAATTGCTACACATATAGATTTTTAAGGATTTATTAGTTGTATACTCAAATTATCAGAAAATGGTCTCTCTCGCACTGAACAGCAGCTAATTGATATGTAAATAATAATTGCAGCATGTTGATTATGTGAGTCTAAAATATGTGTGTTAAAAGGAAATACAACTTGGGAGAAAACCAGTCATGGTGGTGATGTTGGCTAAAGGTGTGAATGATATTAAAAATAAATATATTCCCATTTTCAGATAAGGAAAGACAGAGTGATATAAATTTATATTTTGTTTGCCAATCAATTCAAGGAGTTGTGTTCTCTGCATATTTGAAATAACCTTCTTATACATAAAATGACAATTCCTTGATCCAGATTAGTTAGAATTTCTACCTGTTACTGTTGCATATTTTGTTTCACTAATTATTCATATTTGGTTTTTAGACACCAGAAGAAATTGCTCATCATCTTCAGAACATAGTGTATTTTGGCAAACACATCATGAAGCATTTTTTTGGGGAGAAGTATGTTCATCATGGGGTAATTATTATTTTCTTGTTTTTTTAAATAGAGCTTTTTTGCAGTGTTTTATAGCCTCACCTGGTTAGTTTGGTTTGGACACAAAGAAAAAGGATGGAAGAAAACCTTTTATATTTAACCTGTATTCAGATCACATACATAGAAGATAGAGCAGTGGGCAAAACTTCTGTTGTACACATTCAGAATAGTTGCACTAAACTTAACAGTTTAGTGGAGTAGCAAGAGGAAGAGCACAGGCTGCGCGTGAGTCACGGAAGGCCGATGGAGGCTGCACGTGGGTGGGTGCTGCAGTCACAGGATTGCCATTTGTGACTTTACCTGCTGGCTTCCCACAAACTCAATGGGGAAGCCAGCAGGGAAGATCAAATATCGCTCCAGTAAGTCACTTCCACCTGCAGCACCCACCCACACGCAGCCTCCACTGGCCTTCTGTGACTTGCGCGCAGCCTGTGCCATCCCTCCTTTGGCCGCCCCCCCCCCCCCCCCTCCCCCCTCCCCCCCCCCAGCACCTCCACGCTCCTTACCTGGGACTTCTGCCTCTTCCCGCTTAATGAGCTGCGCCTCTTGGGGTTACGATGGCAAGTGGGACTGCCCTGGATTGCTCTCGCTAAGCGATGTGGTCACGTGACATTGCACTTTATGACTGCATTGCTTAGCAACACCAATCCTGGTCCCAACTGCCAGCATAACCCGAGGATTACCTGTACTCACTAGAACAGGGGTTGGCAACCTATGGCCTGCAAGTCCAGTGTCCATATGAAATCATCCAGCCCGTAGTCCCAAAAAGAAATATATCCAACCTGCCCATGTGAGAGAGGGAGAGAGCAGCTGTCTGTTTGGCTGCTCTTGTGAGCACTCACTGCCTCCTTGGGTGGCCATTTTGGCAACAGCTTCACTACTGCCTTGGCATGGGCAGCCTCACTTCGTGCATGCTAGAGTAGCCCAGTCATGATGCAAATTAGGCGTGGATTCCTTTGGCTGGATCATAGGGCATTTTTGGTATTAGGCCCTAGGTGAAAACTGAACATTCAGGCTCAGGGCTGAATTCAAGAGCCTAGCAGATTTGCAAATCTGAATCTTCAAGGAGGGAATAACCCCATGGAGCACAAATTGATCCAGCTTCCCACACTTCCTTATTTGTCTTTGATTCGGAGCATGTTTTTCTTTTTTCCAGATTAAAGTTCAGTTTGTTTCTCCAATTCATTATTGACATCAGATCACAAATCGACTCTATCCAACATATAAAAAATATTCCTGACAGTGTTATAGAGTTGATTTCAATCCTTCATCAAAAAGGCCTTTGTTTGTTAAACACTGTTGAATAAAAAAAAATACAGAAAGCATATTTAAAGTTCACATTTGCTTAAAAAGACAACCCCCTGTGCCACTTCTAGAAAAGGGAGTTGAATATGGGGGCCACCTCCTCTAATCTTATCCTTCAATTGGAATGTTGAATTCTGTAGATTCATGTTTTAGTGCTGCTTGCTCTTGACTAATAAACTTTAAGGAGCTAAATATTTTTTTAATTTTGTTTGTTTTTGAAATTGTGACCACATATATATTTAGCAATGAGGGATGGGTGGCAGTTGAGAGAAAGGTATAATCATGTTTAGTTATAGTAACAGTTGGAATTAGGAATTATTATCCCAAAAGTTAGTAGATATTACTAGGAGTTTTATATAACTGAAGAGTCTTTGTATTCCTTTTCTAGCGAGAATTGTTATTCAAAGCTGACTTTTTCATAGAATTTTAAGGCAGTATCCTCCTCTTCTCTCAACATTATCTCACCTTTTCACCCCCAAATTCCTGAAGGTGTGTTTAGCTCAGCAATCAAACACCTTTACTTGAAAAAAGTGTTTCCTTGCTATGGATATATGTAGCAATTTCTTCTGTAAAAATATTTTATCACATAGTTCTTAATTATTTTACTGGGCTTATAGGCAGCTCCAATTATGAGTGGTGTTTGTCCCAATCTCTGTTAATTGGTTAAAAACAATACAATAAAAAGAAGTTAGTTATACAAGTAGTCCTTGTTTAGCAACTGCAATTGCTTCTGGCAAAGTGGTGGCTAAGTGACACGGTTGCTAAGCAAACCACATGCCAGAGAGAGAGAGAGAGAGAAAGACGCTGTGAAGCTCACTGGTTCCTGCCATCTCATTTAGATAAAGTTCTCTCATGCAGCAATGCCAGCGTTACTCTCTCTGGCATGTGTTGTTGTCACCTGCAAAAATTGGGGCGTAAGCACACACATTGGTCAGAAAATGTTTTTTCTTTACTACTGTTTACTACCATTTATTACTATCATATTTGCGAATGGTTGCTATCTGGGGCAGTTGCTAAACGAGGACTACCTGTATTGTACAGCCTACATATAGCAATGGGAACACTTATCAGAGTACAGTAATAAAAAATTCTAAAAATCTCTTTAACCTTTTTAGGAAGTTGTCCAGCTACCTTTGGACTTTGTGAAACAGCTTTGCTTAAAGATTCAGTCAGAGAGGCCAGGTAAGAAATTAAAAGAACGGTATGGCTACTTGAACATAAAATTGAAATGGTATTTTCTGAAACCTATTTTAAAAAGTCTGTTAGATCCCTTGCACAACTGCCTGGAAGGTAAAGTCTTCAAGCTAAACTCAACTCATTTGCAAGTTGATTCAGTTTTCTTGGCAAGAGTACAGAAGTGGTTTGCCCTTGTCTTCTAGGTTTTTTTCCAATTTCCCAATCTAGCTTATCACCCTGTAATTCCCTTGCAGTCTTCCATATAAGGTTTATTGCTACCTGTGAGAGCACTGGTAAGGGTAACAAAATTAGCTTCATGTAGATTGTAACCACATGATTCTTGTCTTGTCCTTAGCCCAAATATTTTTTAATGGTATAATTACATAGTATGAAAAAACAGATCTTGTTTATGAAATTAAGTGTTCAGTTATTAGAATAAACATTGGTGTTGCCTTTGGTAATCTTTTCCTGCAATGGAAGTAAACATTTCAGAACTGTATATATTACCTTCTAAGACTCAGCTCTTGAGTCCCTCCAAAAATTGCTAACAAATTTTAGTTTAGTTTTTTGTGCTGGATGGAACAATAACATTAATTATATGTACTGTAATTTTAATTCAGTACAAATTAAATTATGCCAAGTTTAGTTTTTGTTCTTGTTAAATTTTTGGAATTTGCCCCTGTAATGCCACTTAGCTGCCATGTATGGTTCCTGAAAAAGCTTGTGCAGCTTGACTTATGTGCCTGTCTTGAATATATTAGCTTCTCTTTTCTCCTGCTGTCCCATGTTCAATTGGATTTTCCGTTGATATTGAGTGTTGAACACCTTAACTTGGACACAAATACTTTATCATAATTATGAATATATATTTTCACATCCCTCAGGCATGTCTCTCTTCTTTTAAAGTTTTCAGGTGGTTTCTCTGGAAAGTTAGTCAGGACAATAAAACAAGTTAGGCCTTCAAATTGGTAAAGAATACATTTCCTTTTTCAGAATAACTTATTTATTTGTTAAATTTATATTTCACCCATCTCCCTCAGAGAGAAAAGAGAAAAAAGTAGCAATATAATGGCATATTGTTTAGTGCTAAAGCTGGTTCTGCTTCTTTGGTTGCAAAATAATAAAACAAAAAACCCACAGGCCTAGCTGCAGCAGGAAGCACATCTCGTAAGTATTTCACAGTCAGGTCAAAATCTCAGTTTCTTTAGTTAATGGAGCGTAATTTATTTGTGCCTATTATATTTCTTGGATGAATAATTCACATCACTTTTGGGCCCCCATTGTGTTTTGCACTATATATGGCATAGGTAATTTGTTTGTGTGTTTTTACATTAACTAGATACTTTTCTCCAGCATAGTATAAACCAAAGTAAAGACTTTCGTGGCTTGAGTTTGGTTGCTAGTAATTAAAAAAGCATGTCCATGTTGGTGGTTTGGTATCAGTATGGAAGTGGCCTACCACTGCCTTCTTTCTGATATTTTTTTTTCAGTTTTGCCTAGATGTAGGATTTCCCAGTCTTCTGTCCCAGGATTAATCAGGGCTGACTCGATTAATCATTTAAGTTTTTACAAATCACCCAAGGTCGATTAGAAGATACTCATTTACTTTTGAAACAGGATGATAATTCAAGTCTTTTTGACACCTAATCTACCTACCATGCTGCCAAGCTTCATGTGATGATTCAGGGTCCAAAGTAAATTTTAAGATCTTGTATTTTGCAAATAACTACTTCAGAGAATTTTTCAGCACAATTGCTGCATAGATGTTGGTGCACTTGTATAATTGAACGAAACCATATCCTATTATTTTGGGAAACATTTCCTTTTCCCCCCCAAGACTGTATATAATTTTTATTGAAGATTTTTACGTGAATAAAAGACAAATATGAAAACATAAATAAAGAAAAATTAAGAAACACGAAGAGATAAAAGAAAAATTGTGAAAAACAATACAGATAAAGAAGAAAAGAAAAAAAAAGCAACTTCCAGTCTTCATTGCAGCAGTTACAAATGAACTTATTATCCCTCCTCCCTCTCTAAGATTACATTGCATAGTTTCCCTTTATCCCATATCCAGCACTTTTTAATCTACAAATCCAAAAGTTCATTTTTTTTCCGTTTTCAGCAAAAAGTCCATAAAGGGTTTCCAGTCCTTTATAAAGTACTTAGTTTTATCCCTGATCAAACAGATCAATTCTGTCATCTATGTGAACCCTGCCATCTTCACAGTCCATTCCTCTGTTACTTCTGGGAAACATTTCAGACATGCATTTTAAACTGTAATAACATGCTTTGGGTAAAATGCAATTTGTATTCTACTTAGGAATGCATTTGATTGAAATGTGTTTTTGGCACTTTTAGGAAGGCAATAATAAAAGTTATTAGTCTCCTGTATTGAATAGCATGGAAAGTTTATGTGTGTCAAGCACAATAGTATGTCCTGTGTTTGTATTCCACCCTTCCTTCCTTGAAAGAGTTTAGAGCAGGACTTACATTCTCACAACTGCTCCTGTGAGTCTGTGCTCCTTTGGTAATATTGAAACCCCGTAATGACACCACTCAACCCCATAGGGTTTTTTCTCAGATTAAAAACACTGGCATGCCAGGGGTTTATTGCTTTGTAGTTATTGTAGAACTATCAAGAGAGGAATGACATTTGCCGTATCTTCTAAAAATCTCTGTCAGTTAATGTATTATGCTTTTATTCTGTATGTACCTATCATGAGCCTGGTTGTCTGTGTATTCCTAGTTTGAGCCTGATTCCTTGTAGGGATTTGACTGATTATAGAAAATGGTGATAAAGAGAGGAATTCTGTTAGTATAAATGGCAGGGCGGGCACGACAGCCATTCACATTAACTACATGAGGAAGTAATGATTTATTTGTAGTACTGATAAAGTTGGAGTATTAAACATGGGTGCAAGCAGTTATTTCTCCTTTTTCTTTAGAATCACGCTGTGATAAAGATATGGACACTCTTAGTGGTTATGCTTTGTGCCTTCCTAATCTCACTAGGCTGCATTCTGTTGAACATCGCCCCAAACTTTGCATAGAAATTAAGGTGAGTACATCAGGAGTTCCATACAATATCCATACTTTGTATTCATATTGTAGCTATTATGCCACTTTAATTTTATTAGCTGAATGGACTAAATGCTAAACAGTGTAGAAATATAATTTTAACATTGAAAATATGATTATTAATGGTATATCTCCATTACAGGAAGTAGCTATAAAAGATGAAATGGTATTTTATAACTTATTTAAAATCATAGAAACTTTTGAAGCTCATTTTAATCAGGCAGAAATATTTAGAGTAGAATGATAATATAGGTCATTTTGTATACCCATCTTGTTGGCTACCTCTCATGAAGAATCAAACAATGCTACTCAAGTGATTTTGTTCCAGTATTTCTCCTTAATCACGTCAAATACATTAATAAATGACCTTTCTTTTTTTTGGGCACTGATGCAGATTTGAATATTTGAAAATTTGAAATCTGAGCAAGTGAAAAATGTTACAGCATTTAGATTTATGCCAAATAATTAGGTCAATACTTTTGGGGATATATCAGAAGTTTTGTAACAAACGTAAGAGAAATATTTCTGCTGTTTGCGTGTATTAGGGCTGGAAAGTCTGTGCATTGCTTTTCATAAGACCTTGCAGAAAGGTTGGAAGACCCTGAAGGCCTTATTAGATATGGAGGGGGGAGGGGGATTGGTATTACTTCTAAATACAAAGTGAAGATGTCCTAATTTTTAAAATGCATTTATTCCTGCAGCCAAAATGTGGATTCCTCCCCTTTTCCAGCCATGTTTCACAAGAGATAAAATATAAAGTTTGTCGTTACTGCATGCACCAGCATCTAAAGGTAATGCACAACTTAACTGAATTGTAAGCTTTTGATAGCAGAGTGATATTTAGCACACCTGATCATTTATTCATAAGGCAAAACTCACTCCTTTTTTAGTTGTGAGGGCCATTTTGTTTTTGCTAATCATGAAAGTGGAGGGAAGTGCTTTTATTGGGAAAAGTGAGAAGAAGGAGAAAGATGGAAACTGGAACTTTCTTAAATTGAGAGAGCAAGGAAACAAAAGGCACTAGTGGAAGTGTCTGGAGATGTTGATGAACTCCCAGCTTGAACAGTTCCAGAAACTGAGTTAACTGCAAATTTGTTTGAGAAATAAATGAATGTATATTTGGGACTTGGCCTTGAACTCCTATGTTTTGTTTGTCAACAGATAGCAAAAGGAAAGTGGAAACATCTAAGTAAATACTGTCCTCTAGATCTATTCTCAGGGTAAGAAAGTGTATCTCATATTTTATGTATCTTTTCTTTACTAAGCTCTTACTGTTACTAGTGCTACTTCTTTTGAACAGTTCTGCTATGCCAAATGTTACATCTATGTGAAATCTAACAACTATGCTCCTAACTTGAAAAGTTTCAGTCTGTTAATCAGTTCTGAGCTGCATGATAAACACTCTTAAGGATATGGAAAGAAGCTAGTAAAGTGCTAGTAGGAAGAATAGTTGGAACAATTTTCAGGAAAAAAATGTGGAAAATGTGACAAATGACTTCTAAGTAGAAGTATGAAGTTTCTTGAGGATTAGAGTGGGGAATAGTTCCAGTTATAAGGTCATAGAGTTAGAAATAAAATACAGACAGGTTTGAGACTAGATCAGAGAGAGCAAGTGTATTTTAATGACTGATTGGTTGCACTTCATTTTAAATATTCATGTTAATTTTTTTTTTAATTTTAGAAATAAACAGCGAATGCATTTTGCCTTGAGAAATCTATTATATGAAGCACAGAATAACTTAAAAATATTTAAGGTAAGGGGCACTGAATGTTTCAAGGAGGCTTTTGTTCCTCATCCTGCCTATTTCACTTTGGTATTTTTTTGCTAGTGTGCTTAATCAGGTAGCAGTTCCTGGAGGTCCTAGCTGCCATCTCTATGATTTAAATAAAACAATCAATGCTTCGCCTACTGGGCAAATTACTTATAGTGATGTTGTTTGAAATACTCCTTTTCTTTTTTTTATTTTCTGAAGTTAATTCAGGAATGTGTTTAATGAACATGATTTGGAAGTTGAAAGTAGAAAAATTCTTTAGAAGAGGAATAGTGAATGTAGGTCTGCAAATTTGGACAGAAGTATAAAAAATAATGATGAATCTGGTTGAGAATTATTAAGCTCATTTAAGAAAGCATACAATAGTTAGAAGCTATAGTGAGCACACATTTTGGAAGTCTGTATGCCCCCTTGTGACAGTCTCAAATTAAAGTTGAGCAGGAACCAGTTACATCAGGTTGCCATTTCTGCAATCCTTCAGAAGACATAAATGTCAGAGATGCTAGGCTTCTTATTTATTTATTTTTTTTACAAAGAGGTGCTGGAAGAAACTAATTTACTTAGCAACATAGCTTATTACATAGGCCCTTTAAACTGGTAAGAATTCATAAAATCTGAGTGGTTACATGGACTTCAAGTGTTTGAAGTCCAGCATTTAAATACAAGAGCTGAGATTGATTACTGGCATAACCAGCCCCTCTTTTCATCCCAGCTGCTCCTGTCTTCCCACTACCATTTGTGTGACCCATTAGGGTTGATATGCTGGCCTAGCTGCCATTATCTTCACTCTTGCTATGGAAGGCTGGGGTCTATAAAGTGCTGATTTGCTTCTTTGATGGAGCAGTTCCCTCCTGTCAATTTTTTCAAGGTTTGGAGGGCCCTGCTTCATCCTCCTTTCTCCTTCCTTCCCTCTTCCAGATCAGTTTCAGTCCCCCAGCTTCTGTGCTGTTCTTCAACCAGCTATGCTAGTAGTTCATATCTGATAGTGAATGAATGCCTGATGAACATCAGTCTCCACTTCAGCTCAAATTATTGCTGGCTGGCACTCCATTCCTCCTCTTCCACAAGCAGGATGAAATCAAGGTAGCAATCTCTAGCATTTGCAGACCTACATGCACATTCAGAAGGGTTGTTTCATTCCATTTTTGGTTGATTTCAGACTGCTGTGCTCTTAATTAAGTATTTCTTCTCGTCTGTAAATTACATCTTAATTTATATATTTAATATTTTGTTAAAATACAAAGCGGTTTGTTTTTAATTTAATGTTTGATATAAGTATCTTTTTTGAAGAACTGTATATTGCCCTTTTCTCAAGGAGCACAGATTGTTTGCCAGGAGACCTAGATTGGATAAATCAGGTTTGCTGACTTACAGCTGAAGAAGCAGAGGCTGTGATTTGGAGGAAGAAATATATAGAGGCCTTGGTAGCTGTTCTCTGCTATGATTAGGGAAGAAAGAAGCATGGGGAAAGCAGTGAATTGGGCAGGGTCTTAAAATCTCCTCTCTGCTTGCTGCTTTCATTTTCCAAATCATGTATTTCTCCTGCTATATACCCTTTTAGCCTTTTGGAAGGCCATTAAAACCTGCTGAGATAGGATTGTACAGATAGAAAGTATGGAATGAGGGCAACTGGAGGGTGCTGTGGGGCATCCCAAGGGGAAGATTAAGGCACAGGTTTTATTGTTTTACTGTTTTGCTGTTTTATGATTGCTTTATAGTTATTGGTTTTATTGTTGTTGTGAGCTGCCCAGAGTTGCTTAAGATGGGCAGCCAAATAAATCTTTTAAATAAATAAATAAATAAATTTGTTTTGACGATCTAGTACTTACGTAGGGATCTGCTGTTTATCACTGAGTAAAATCTTGGTGAGGTAGTTTCCAGCTAAGAATTACTTACTGTCAGTTTTCCAGTTGCAAAATGCATAATCATGCACTGATTATAACTCAGATTGTACTAACATGCATATATAGCCATCACAGTATTCCCTTTCAGGATAGCAACATTATCAAAGTACAGAAAAAGGACAAGAAGTAGTAAGCGAAAGAAGGCAGGAGAGAAGAAAAAGAGAAGGAGTCTAACTAAACCTAGTTTACATCAACACCATTCACTTTACCTGTCCATTCCTTTCTATCCTTGCAATCCATCCTTGCTTCCACCATGCCCAAACATTAAGTCATATATTGGCTTTAGCTCTTTAAATTTCTCACCTGTCTTTGAGGATCTCATCAACTTTATTCAACCAGGATTTTCTCAGTCTTCCCCACCTCTCAACCATTTCCCTCATTTCTTTCATAAATATGTTTTGAGATTTGATCCTCATTCATTCTCTCTTCAACATACAGTGGTACCTCGGGTTACGAATGCCTCTGTTAACGAACTTTTCAGGTTACGAC